CCAGGATGCCTCCTGTCGCTTACTTTGGACAGGTGATCAGGAGGGGCTAGTCCCTGGAGAATGACATCACGCATGACCATGTAGAGGGCAGCGGAGAGGAGGAGGGCCCTCGGTGAGATGGACTGCACGGTGGCTGTGGCCTGGCCTCCCACATAATGTCTGGGAAGAGGGTGCAGGGCGGGCGGAGTTTCATTCTGTGGTATAGACAGCGGGGCTCTGGGTGGGTGACTTGCCAGCCACCTCCACGGCCCCTCACAACAACAAGAACAACAGAAGCCGAAGTCGTTCCCATGGTGTTTTAGGGCCACATCCACATCCGCACGGGGTGGGGGTGGGGGGCTGTGTGTCAGCTACAGATAGAAGAAACGGGCACTTTGAGAAGTTTCAGAAAGCACTTCAAGACCTCCCCTTAGATCTCAATGTGCTTCCAACCCTAATGCTCTAGCGAGTCATGTCTGCCAACGGGATTTTATTACATTGGTTTTCCCCGAATGACGGGAGAAGGGCCTTCTGATTTCTTTGTCAGGTCAGGTAGGCGGACTAATCACTTCCTTCCCCATCGACTGCCGATACGGACACAGGATGGAGGAATTTTCCCAAGCTCTGAATCAGCCGGAAAAGTAGGCACCAGACCACACCCGGGCAGGACACAAGTATAGTCGAAGGGCCGATTCTGAGGGAGCACAGTAATGGTTAAAACTTAGGGATAAGGACCCACATGCATCCATGTTCAAATCTCCGTGACTCCATCACTGAGGTGACCTTGGGGGAGTTACATGGCCTCTCTCTGGCCAAGCGTTCACACCTAAAGCTGGTTTTAATACAGTTGTGTTGGCGATGAAGTGAGTGTGGAGTCCTGGGGAGGTGTAGTGGTTACGTGTTGGTCTGCGATCTGCATGGTCAGCAGTGTGAAACCAGCAAGATTGGGCTTTCTACTCCCATGAGCAGTGACTGTCTCGGAAACTCACCGGGGGTCGCTCGGAGTCAGCACGGACTGGATGTGAACACGCTCACTCTAAGGGAAACTGCTCAGGCAAAGGTGCTTTAAGAGAACCAGGGGGGGGGGGCACTGAGAAAACGAGCTTAGTCTTCTTTTGTTTCTTGTGAACAATCTGGTTGTTAAGGAGACAACAGGGCCATAGGTATGGGGTTGATTCCAACTCACTGCAGTTTCGTTCAAGAGAAGAAACGCCATCGGGCTTTCTCGGCTGTAAGTTTTGTAGAAGTCGGTCACCAGAGCTTTCTCCCAGTGTTGCTGGGGGCGGGGTTTGAGCCATTCACTTCAAGGCTAGTAGTTGAGTGCAAACGATGTGAGCCTCTCAGGGAACCTATTCATGGTCCCTAAAGACTGAGCAGTGGGTCTTGTCTTCTCACTTCCCCTAAGTCCCTATCTCAGTGGCTTCAGAGTCCACCTGCTCCCTGGTCAGCATCACACATGCCGACCACAGTGTCATACGGAATTTCAGTGTCCTGATTACTTACCATTCCTCGTCCTATGTAGTTCGCCATCACTTTCCCCCTCAAGTCAGACACAGGCACAAGGCAGGGGCTATCAGGGATAGGAAAGGGCCCTGGTGGCATAGGGGGCTATGAACTGAGTTGCTAACTTTAAGGCCAGCAGTTCGAACCTACCAACCACTTGGAGGGAGAAAGAGGAGGCTTTTTATTCCCAGAAAGGTGTACAGTTTCAGAAACCGACAGGAGCAGTTTTACCCCATTCTGTAGGGTCACTATGAGCCAGAATTGAGTGAGTGGCAGTGAGGTTTTGCTTGTTTATCAGGGCAGGCTAGTGAGAGGGTGATCTCTCCTTCACACCCAGAGATCCAGCCCCTCCTGCAGGGTCTGCAGTCACCTTTCCGGCTCCTTGTAGCCTGGTGAGCTCTGTGGTGGTCAATTCTGCTTTTTCTAAGGACAAGCTTTGTTTGCAAATAAGCTCATTTCCCGGCACCACTCTTCCTTGAGAACCAGCGGCCTTTCCCCATAAGTACCAGTCAGGCACCTGGCCGTTCGCCACGAGGGTCTCTTTAGTCAGAGAGGCAATCAAAAGGAAGTACTGTTGGGAATGCCCACTGAGTAAGTGCCCGCATGTGCCTGCCAGCCTGGGTTACGGCCTTTCCACACACTGGCTCCCTAAAACTTGGGCCGCCGTATGCACCTGCTGGCTTATCCTCATCTCTTCTCCAGCCCCCTCTTCTGCACCAGCACTCTGCCCCCCGAGTTGACACACACAGGATTAATGGCTCCCTCACCCCCTGGTCTGTGCTGATGCGATGCTCTGATGGGAGGCTGGGCTTCCTTTCTGACTCGCTCCCTGCAGGCTCACCCACAGCTCACCACGATCCTCTCCTTCTGGGACGCAGGCAACCTTCACATCGGAGCCCTGCACATGGATGCAGCTCGGGGGATCCCACAACGTCCCCATTCCAGTCTCTGTGCCACACCAGCAAAGAAGCAGACTCATTGTTTAAAGCTCAAAGACAGCCAACTCTGGCTTGGAAGAAGGCAGGCCAGACGGCTCCTTAGAGGTAAGGGTGGCGAGACCTCGTCTTCCAGACTTGGGACACATTGTCAGGAGACGCCAGTCCCTGGAGAAGGACATCATGTTTGGTAGAGTAACCGGGCAGTGAAGAGAGGAAGACCCTGGATGAGTTGGTCTGACACCATGGCTGCATCAACGGGCTCAGGCATAGGGGCAGTTGTGGGGCCAGGGCAGGGCAGGGCAGGGCGGTGTTTTATTCTGTTGTGCACAGGGTCAGAACTGACACGTTGGCACCCAGTAACAACCGCCACCATTAAAACCATCCTTAAAACTCGGTTTGGGGTGCTCGCATCCTGTATTTCCCAGAGAAAAGATTGGCTCTCGACCAGCGTCAGGGCAATGACCTTGCCAACATCCTGCTGGAGGAGTAACTTGGTATCAGTTGGGCTCGTGGACCAGGTAGGTCAAGCTACCCTGTTTCCCCGAAAAGAAGACAGTGTCTTATATTAATTTTTCCTCCCAAAGATGCGCTAGGTCTTATTTTCAGGGGATGTCTTATTTTTCCATGAAGAAGAATACAGTACACATTTATTGTTTTATTGAAAGAGACCTCGCACTTCCTGTCTGCTCTGGCTGTGCTGCAGCCAACAGTGAGCTGTGCGGCAGCACCCGCCGTTATGGTCCAGAGTCCAGAGTTACGGTAGCTTTGGGGGGGGGGGGACTTATTCTTGGGGAGGTCTTATTTTCGGGGGATACCTTATATTTCAGCAAGAGACAAAACTGTAAGTAGGTCTTATTTGGGGGGGATGTCTTTATTTCGGGGAAACAGTGTAACAATGCGATATATGGTGGGGATTGTGAGCCCTGCTGTCTGAGTGGGACTTCTTAAAGAGCTGCAGACTGAGTAACTGGGTCAGCCGCCTGGGCGCTCTGTGCTCAGGCTACTGTCCCCAATCAAAACCTGCACACATGGCTCAGGGGAGCATCCCTGGCTGGCAACACTCCCCATGGTGTCACACATCAAGCTGAGCAAATTCCGTGCTGCCTGTAGAAACCCACTGGGGAAGGACAGCCGGAAGCTTGTGTCTGGGGTCTCCTGGGTGCCACCCAAATCCTTTTATCTTTGCTGATTTTAACCTGCATTCGTTGGCTGCAACAAATGGTAGCCAGGAGCATAACACTTTTCCTGCGTTCCACGAGTCCTCCTAGCAAGTCCTCCTAGCACGTCCTGAACCTGAGGGTGATCTTGGAGACACCAGATTCACTTGGAAAATGACGAAACCTCCTGGTCTTAAGCTACGACCATGGTAGTAGCCACATGGATGGAACGCAGAAACACATTATGGTCAAAACCATTCCAGAAACATGCAGGTGAGGTCCTGGGGGACCATTCAGGTTGAAGAAGCCACGGGGCTTCGAAAGACATTTTAATAATCTCCAGGGACTTTTGAGAAGTGGGTTAGGGGCTCCCTCCCGGGTGCTCGGATGAAGATGGAATGAGAAAGGTTGGGGGTCACACATTCATGGCCCAGTCTTAGGGCCTCTGATTGGAGGTGGGATGTTATTGTGGTCGTTAGGTGTCTGAGTTGATTCCAACCCATCGCACCCTCTGCACAACAGGCAGGAAACACTGCACAGCCCTGGGCCAGCCTCACAGTGGTTCTTCCGCCTGAGTCATTGTTGCAGCCACTGTGTCAATCCATCTCCTCGAGGGCCTTGCCCTTTCTCACTCGAACAGACAAAACGTGTCTAACTCAAGTTGGCCCATCTCATCCACATGCATTTCTTTCTACCCCACGTTTCAGGGGAAAAGAAAATGTTCTGAGCCAAGTCTTCTGAGAGGGAAGGTGTGGGAGTCTGCACGTCCCTCAGCCCATGGCCTGTGCCGTCCAGTGTCTTTAAGCTTCCCATTCCCGGATGTTCCCTGGCCTATTGTCCTGCCTGAGCTTGACCTTTGTGAGGATTGGTGCTCGGTGGCAGGCAGCCGCCATGCTCATTGGACACCTCCGCCAGGCATCCAAGTGCACCTCATTTGCATGCGGACCGTCCAAGTGCACCTCATTTGCATGCGGACCTGTTTGAGGACTGATGCCTGCCATTTCTTCCATATTTGGTAGCTGCGTGATTAATTGGATTCTACCTGTTACACTTTATTAGCATATGATGTAATGTTACCCGCCCACCATTGGGTATTTAAGCCTCTGCCTTTTGCTCAATAAACGAGGCTTGATTAGACTCCTGTCTTGCCTCCATTTCTCGCGTCTCTTGCCCCTCTTCATTCCCAGCCCCTTTTTCAGGTATCCACGTTGTTTGATGACCCGCGGGACGGGTCAGGAAGGAAGCAAGAAGGAAACACCAGGAAATTTCCAGGAAGAGACTGTGCTTCCTTTCATACCATTTGTTCATGGAGCGACCAAACCCCCATCAGCTCTGCTCCCCAGCAGGACGCAGTCACCTGTGTGGTCCCACGCTGCTCCTCCACCTCCCCCAGGCCCAGCTGCCGCTCCGCTCCCCCACTCACCTGGCGCCGCTGACATCCACGCCAACCATCAGCTGCCCGTTCAGGGAGAGGACCTCGTCACGCAGCCGGACCTTGCCGCTCTTCCCGGCAGGGCTGTTCTTCCGCAGCTCCGTCACCCAGATGCAGCCGACATCCAGCATGGGGCCCTGGTGGGTTTTCCTCTTCTTGCCCCCCCTGCGCTTTTCCCCATAGTCCCCGAAGACGGGGATGTTCCCAAAGCTGAGGCCCACCGTCTCTGTGTCCCCCAGCTCCTTGGTGAGGTACACAGTACAGATCTCCATCTCGGGGAGCCTGAGGTCGGACGGGACCGCGCTCTCGTCCACAGCGAAGTTCAGCTGGATGTACTCCTGCAGCTTCTGGATGGCGGCCTGGCACAGCCTCTGCTCGGGCCCGGTCCCACCCTCCCGCAGGCTGTTCTGGAGCCACTGGCAGAGCAGGGGCAGGTGCAGCACGGCATTGTCCTGCGTGATGGGCATGGTGCTCACTCCCGCGGGCCAGCATCATGAGAGGGCCTGCTCTTGGGGGCCCCGCGTCCCTTGGGAACCTTGGCTGACCTTGGCTTTGGCTGTGGTCATGGTCAGGCTGACAGGCGAGCCCCGGAGGTGCCTCCTGTGCACTGGGCTGTTGGACTTGGCAGGAGGTGGACAGCACACAATGAGAAGGGCAGGGGAACAGTCACTCCGGAGGACACAGCGGGCAAGGGAGGAGGCAGCCCGCAGCTGCGCGCTTGGGTCACTGAACGGCAGGGCCGCCCTGTGCACATGGCAGGGAAATGGGACCCATCTCCAGCGGCGACAGCAGGTCCTTCCCGGGCTCAGTCACACCTGGGACACAGAGAGAAAGACACAAAGCAGGCATCTCAGTGAGCTTCTCTGCTACTGCAGGAAGGGGCTGGCTTCAAAGGCGCTAGGCTCATGCCAGAAACCGGATGCTTCGCTCCAGGGCCCAGTGTGGCTCCCTCCACCCTGTGCACGCATGCATATGCACATATGCACACACATGCACACACGCGTGCACCTTCGAAGCTCATCCAGGAACTTTGGGAGTGCTGAGCGTCTCCAGAAAACGTTTTCCGACTAGCAGAGAAGCGAGGTGACCTGTCAGGACCACCTGGAGCATGAAAGCCGCAGCACTCACGCACAGCGAGGAGACTGTGTAACAAGACCGCTTGGGAAGTGGGATGGAAACGCTTCTGCCCTGGCTGCACCCCAAGTGCACCAGAAGGAGACACCAGTGTAGTCCCTCCTGGGCCGTCCTCCCAAGGGTTCCTGACGGAGACCCTTGCTGCAGCCAGTGTGGTTAAGGGTCTGCTTGTTCAGCTGACCCCGATTATATCCTTAACATTCACTGCCATCAAGTTGATTCTGACCCACAGGGTCCCTCCAGGACCGAGGAGAACCACTCCATAGGTCTTGCTAAGACCGTACTCCTTATAGGAGCAGAGTATCTCATCTTGTGGAGCAGCTGGTGGGCTTGAACCATGGACTTTATGATTAGCAGCCTGATGCTTAAACTCCCTCCACTACAGGGCTCCCTCTTACATCCTTAAACCAAAAAACCCCTCAAAAAACAAACTGACCACCACTGAACTGATGCTGACCCATAGTGACCCAGTAGGGCTGAGCAGAACTGCCTCTGTGGGTTTCCAAAACTGTTGATCTTACAGGAATAGAAAGTCTCATTTTTCTCCTGTGCAGTAGCTGATGGCTTCGAACTGCTGACTGCAGTTAGCAACCCAACTCATCACCGCTATGCCACCAGGACTCTTTCACTCCTTTACTCACTCACTCACATCCTGCCACCGGGTCGATGCCGATTCATAGGACCCTATGGGACAGGGTAGAACTGCCTGTGTGAGCTTCCGAGACTGTAACTCTTTACAGAAGTAGAAATCCCTGTCTTTCTCCTGCAGGGCTCCTTAGGGAGCGTAAAAAAGTATGTGCATTGGTTTGGATCCACCCTACTGCTGCTGAAGGAGGGCCCTCCCACCTAGACCTCTGCAGGCCACCCAACCACGAGCCAGTCTACACCGCAGCCATTCTGGCTCTGCCCTAGGGCAACACCAGTGCAGGCAGACTCGGAAGCTTCTGCCTTCCTGCCTGGCGGTCGCCTTCAGTCCCCTCTTTCCTCCCTGCAAACTGTTGACAGTGACCCTTGTCAGACTAGCCCAAATATCACCTGGGTGAGATGACCGCGCCCCTCCTTACCTGTTTGCCTCAAATCTATTTTTTCTTAATTGTGGAAGAGACCAGGGGGGCAAGACTTCATCTTACACACATTGGACATATTGTCTGGAGAGGCCAGTCCCTGGAGAAGGACATCATGCCTGATAAAGTAGCGACCAAGAGGAATGGCCTCAGTGAAATGGAGAGACCCAGCGGTTGCAGCAAGGGGCTGCAGGCATGCGTGCGACCTGACTGGACAGCACCTGACGGACAACAGCAACCACCTCTCTACGGCTGCATCAGTCATTGTCTGACGACACCACACCGCTTGTGCAGTCGTTGGTTGGTGGGCACTTGGGTTGCTTCAACCTTTCAGACACAGTGAACAGGGCTGCAATGAGCTGGCATACGGGCAGCACTTTGCTGGCTCTCCAACACTTTGCGATCCACTGGGTAGCACGGCTGGATGCAGCTGCAGGCACATCTTGCAGACTAGGGCTGGCACGGATTGGCCTTGTCCCCTCTCAATTGCACACTGTGTCCGCACTTGTGCACAGGTAAGTCCCCAGCGAAAGGTTAACGTCATACCACTGCCAATTCTCCCTCTCCACCACAGAGAAATGTTATCTCCATGCTTGGGACCCATACAAAAAGACTCCTTCCCTGAACTACACTTCCACCTAGAGAAAGTCAATATCAAGCCCCGCCTCGGATGGGAAATGTTTCCTGGGCTTCGTGGGAAGCGATTTAACCAGGAATAATAATAAATGGGAGAGGTGTCAGAAGCCATATCCATAATAAATGACTTTATTACTCAGTCATGGAATTTCCAATACAGTGAGCTCTGAGCTTCTGAAAAAGCTGAGTGCCAGCTATTAGTGGGCGTCAAATAAATCAAAAGTGGAGCAAATATCATCTACATAATCACCTGCCTCCGAACAAGAACCCCAGATCAAAGAAAGATCATCCCTGCGTGGACAAAGTGCAAAGGTCTCCGATGGCCAACCTAAGTCCCGCCTCCTGCTGGAAAACAGCCACACACGCAGGCCTATTACCAACATACGGATAAATCCAAACCATCTCCATCGGGCCTAACGGCATTTAGGAGCTGCCATCTTTTTTTTTCATCTACAGCGAGAGCTTTGGGGTATTTCAGGCGCACCGCTGAGGTCCTCGCACACAGACAGAGCGTATCCTTCCTCAACGCACCCCGTGTAAGCCTGCAAGACCCTTTCATTGAAAATCTAAACGGTCTGCTGCGATTCCAGGGTTTCCTCGCAGTGAATGGCTCTGCTTTGCGGAGCAACCTGATAGGACAGAAGAGAACTTAACACCCCCCCACCCACCCCCACCTCCCAGGGCTTTCTACACTGCAATCTGTCTGCGGGGAGAAAGACGGGTTTTCTAGCCTATAAAGAGTGACAGTCTCAGAAACCCACGGGGGCAGTTCTACCCTGTCCTAGAGGGCGGCGATGTGTCTGGAAGTGAGCTTGGATTTTCGGTTTGGAATCTTGATGGAGCAAATTGCCAGGTTTGTTCTCCTACGGAGTCGCTGGTGAGTATGGACCACCGACCTTTCCGGTTTGCAGTGGAGCCATTGACCCACAGGTTCCCAACGTTATTTGGCTTACTTCCTTCCTCTTTTACAGAAAAAAAGATTACTCAGCACTGCTCCACCCCATACAGTGACAAACGTTGTCCTACATAACCCATAATTCAGGACAAAGTACAGTATAGGTATCTGCTTTTGCAACACTTTTAGATTTTTCTAGTGCCCGCCAGGGGGCGGTCCCACCTACTTTGGAAAACTGGTCAACCTTTGCACCATCAGGGTTGCGTGAGACGATTCTAGACGTATGAAACAGAATAAATATCTTAGGCGAGATAGGCTTTAACTATTTCTAAAAGAAGAAAACTAAACTTCAGCATCACAGAGAATCTTTTTAGCCAGGTATCAATTTGTATTCATCCATTCAACAAATATTTATTGAATATCTATTATGAACCAGGCCTCGAACTTGGCACTGGGGCTAGAACTGTCAATAAGTCACATTCCTTGCCTGAAGGAATTCATAGTCTAGTGGGAAGGTGCATAAATGAATAGAAATTAGAGTGTCATAAGTCTATGACAACCCTGTTAACTGTCTCCACCTGCCAGAACTGACAGAGCTACCTCCCTGGCAGCTATGTTTGCACAATAAAACCCATTCCCGTCTCTGCCAATCGGTCCAGAGCTTAGCATCTCATCCAAGCTGGGACATTCAGAGTTCTTCCCTTGAGAATTGAGCCCCAGACTCAGAAAGAAAGCCTTAGTCTCTGACGAGTGGCAGAACTAGAACCTTTGAAGGCAGGAGCTCTGAAAGGCAAGCTTCTGCCTGCTTCTCAGAGTGCGTGGCAAAGACAGTCAACCTGACAATGACTAAAACTAAAAGTGGTCAGGAAACCACACAGGTGCAAGACTGCTGTGGCGAGAACTCCATGCGCTCCCCACGCTCCCCACACCACGACTGCTCTCAGCTCCGTCTGTGGGCAGTGCTGCCTGGCTGCCTCCACCATATGACACCCTGAAAGATTCTCTCAATCCTTGCAATCAATTACACTGAAAATTAATTACTAAAACAAATGAACATCTTACAGCAGCAACAAGGAGCAAAAGTAAATCAAAACAGAACTTTACTGTGAACACTGGGGCCTTTTGCCAGGAGATCAGAAGAACCGGATGGTGCCCAGCTGCCGTGATGGAAAACTTTGATCAAGGGCGCTACACAGGAGTCAAAATGAGTCAAACACAGAACAGAATTTCAAATTCTCATGGAATCCACTTTTTCTGGAGCCCAGAGATCATTTTAAAACTTTAAACCAGAAAGATCCCCTGATGTCTGCTTAGGACAGTTTAGATTTACTTGTAAAGAATGCTTTAGCATATTCACTTTAAAGCTCTGTCTTCCGAGGACCAAAATGACATCAGCAACAAAGAACGTTAGACAGGAACTCTGCGGACGGGGAGCTTATGGTAATTGGGGAGGAACAATTCAGAAAAGGAAGGTGGCACTGGCTACACAACTCGAAGACTTTATCAGTGTCCCCAAACGGTTGACTTGGTGTGCTGTTTGTGTTCTCAGCAACACCAGCAATAAGCAAATCATCTTTAATTCATTTATCCTACACCTTGATTTGGTTTTGGCTTCTTGCAAAGGTTTTAACAGATTGGGTGTGAGCAAAGTTAGTTGGCTCGGCTCTGATCAGCAGTCCATGGGTAGGACAGTTCGTCATAGATAAGGGAGGGCGGTCACAAGATGCCAGCCTGGCTGCTGGAGGCCCATCCCAGTGACTGCATGTGACAGCGCCGGGAGGCAGGTTTTAGGAAATGTTGTAGAGTGCGCAAGACACCCTCAAAGGCGTCTAGTCTTATTCCGTACCTCTAGTGTCTTTCCAGCCCCCTAGTCTACCCATTCATTTCCCGGGATTTGGTATTTAGGGACGTGGAGACATTCTCTTTCACTGCAATGATGTGAGATGAGTGGGGACCAAAGGAAAGACACACACTTTTTCAAGACTATGAAAAGTTTAATTCTACAACATCCCATGAGACGTC